GCATTCTGTTTCAGTTTGGGCAACAAAAAGAAAATCATCTAATACATGAACAACTGCTGGGGCGTTCAGTGTGGTATAAGCTACCCATTCTAGTGCAGTACTGAGTTCTTCGAAGATTTTACAACTTCCTGATAAACCCATAGGTAAACATCTGTCGAAATATATTTTCCCATTCCACTGTAAGCCTAACAACCTGCGGTCGTCCGGATATATGGGTATAATTCGATGTCAGTCTTAGCTAAAAAAACTACCTTGGCCTAGCTGTTTAATGTGCTTAATTGCATCCGATATTGTGACGTACTGCATCGTTGACGACTCTGTGCTGATTCCATCATTAATCGATAGACCTTTTGGGTGACTAAGGTGGTGAATCATTCGATATTTACCAGGATCTTTCTTAGGGACCACACCGATGGGGCTGACTTGAAATTCATTGTAGGGGGGAGAAGTAAAGGGGCCAGCAATACGCCCTGCCTGTAATTCCTTCTGAAGTTTGTCTTGAATAATATGGCGAAAATCTTTTGCAGACTTAAGGTTCTGACATGTTTGTTTGAAATCCCCCATCATAATGAATACGAAAGCCTTCTGTAAAACCTTGTACAAAGTGGGTTTTGTCTTTATCATAACCTGCTAACATCTCTGCGAGCCTATCTGCGATAATAGGGGTAACGATTTCTGCGGAAACCACGTGGTCTTGGGGCATATGGTTGAAAGCGGTGTGGAGTGTATGGATTTTGGTTGCGTTGGGGACGAAAAGTAGGTATGGACCCCGCATGGGGCCGCGGTGCTACTGAGGAAGCAGTGCAATTACTGGGGTGGTGAGAGCCGTGACATGATGGACAGCCATGAAAATGCCTACAGCCCCCCTCCGCTCCAGGGCAATTTCTACTCTCAAGAAATTTAAAACAAAAACCTTTTGGGTGTGTGAGAGTGAACGACTGTTTTGTCTGTTGTGAGGTTTGCCCAGCTTTTCGTATGATAGCCTCGTGCCAAAGTTCCCACTCTACAGGGTCCCAGCCCTGCTCCCCGTTTTTTGCCTGCAACTGCCTTAATCAAGTATCGTAAAACTGCCAATCAGCCCCTTTAGTGGCTAGTTTGCGTATGATTGACATGTATTTCAAGAGGGCCCCAAACACTTGTGGTTTTTTCTCACAATGTATGCTGGCATACATGTGGAAACTGTTGGTCCACTGGTCTATGGACAGGTATTTGGTTTTATGTTTAGGTACCCACTGAACCACAGGAATCCCAGCCATGTACTTGATGCCTGTTCAAAGGCCTCATTATCCTTCTTATCAATGAGGGACATATCAATTTATTCCCCCGCCCAAATTGTTTCTTTCATAGGCTGAGAAACCATTGCTGGCAGGGGAATGGCTGTTGAAATAAATGGCTGTAGATTTGACTCATCGTCTGGGGCCACCTGTGAAACAGTTGCTGCCACATCTATAGCACTATGTAACACTGAGTTGAATATTGGTGTATTGTGATCCTCACCAACGGTGTTGTCTATAGGAGAAAAACCTGTTAAGATAGGCGGCTCAGCAATGGCTGATGAACTTGAGGATGTTGAGGCAGTCAGTGAGGATATTGAGACAGCACCGGCCCCCGCTGCATTAAAGTTAATTTGGGAAAAAAACTGTCTACAGGCTTTTTCCACACCTTGCTGTACAGCCCTCTGGACAATTTGTTCAACGTCCGCCTCGGGTATCATTCGCCCAGAAGCGACACTGTTTTCTTGTACTTCTGCTGTACCTGGTACTTCTCTGGTTTGGGCACCTGTTTGGGCAGAGGTAGCTGTATCAACTTGACTCTCAGCCAACCGAACCTTTTGGGGATTGTCGAATGATTGGCTACCGCCTTCCGTCTCGGACGCATACTGTCTGGTGTCTGAAGTGCATGACAGGATATATGTGCAGACATTTTGACATAACATTTGTTGCAGTATATTGTGACGTGTAAATAAGATTATAGCTCTAGTAGTATAGCCACATATAAAATATTGAAGGAAATATTAATGTTATAGCAGTTGGATTATATACCAATGTACTCAAAGATGTAAAAATGTTATCAACACTGTAAATTTGTATAATAGTAAATAATAATATTTTTTTTGACTCCATTAAAACCAGCATGACAGACAGGGAGAACATACCATGTATACCGACTACCTACAAGTATGAAGTATTGGCAATAGTGAGTACATTGCTGTAAGCACCGGTATGAGCCACGCTGCTGTACAATGCATGCATAACAAAATGAAAAATTGGAAAAATACTGAAACCAACATGGGCCAGTAACACAACTGAAGCCTTTTGAACTGAAACCACTACGGGCCAGTGACAAATCTGAATGATGAAGATTTTTGACAACCAAAGGCCAGTAATATATATATATTCCTTCTGATTTTCTATTGATCATGAACCCACATGGGCCAATACTATTATTTATTTATTTTTTAAAGAAAATAATTTTACTGGCATTGATGCCATTACAATATCTAAATTTACCAGATATAAAATCATGATAAATTTGATTAATGCTGTATAAAAGTGTAGTACATTACTGATATGAATTGATTAAAATTATGTGGCAAGGTTTTACAAAATATCCAAACTTACAAAATGTTCATTGGTACTAATTGCTTAAAACTGATCATATGCAACAATATTTAAGGAAATAAAACAACAACAACACTAAAATGTAACAAATACAGTGTCTCTTATGATATGACTTGAAGTCTGCTGCTGTAAGGGAGGTAACTCGAAGAAGTCATTGTAACGTTACTCGGTCTATCTAGAATTGTGGGGCCATATCACTCGCTTTCAGTCCAAATAAAACAACACCTCGGACAGACTTGAAATATGGGTATTGTCGTTTAAAATGAACCCCATCCGAGTCATACAGTCGGGTTAAATCTGCCATGCGGTCATGTCGCCAAAATTTACAAAAAAACACTCCCGTCAAGGGCGAAACAAAGCCTGCTGTTTAACTCTTTTACTCTCTGGTTATACACATGAATGTCTACATCACCTCTATTAGAACGAGTTCTCAGACGCGCGAAAAGTTCAAACACTACCACATATTGCACAAATGGGGCAGCGAACAACTGTTCTATCAAAGAAGTAAAGTTTTTAAAAACAACGTCGGGGGTAAGTTCTGGACGGCTCAGGTCATTCCCCGCTATTTATAGACAGATCACGTCGGGTCGATAGAAATGAATGTCGCCCATATATCGTCGTAATGTGTCAATGGTACCGCCTGAGTAGCCAACCATCTGTATACTGTGCGAATCCTTGCGAAAACCAAGATTGGTGGTGGAAGTTTGTTCGTCACAATATTGTCCCATACGGCATACGTCGTATGAGGCTATGCCCCCAAACCAACACAGTTTTATTCGCCATCGCCAAATCGAACATACAAGGGACAATTAAAGCAAAAAATCTACTTTCCCTGTCTGTTTGCTTCTTCCACAGCCGTCATTGGGGGAACGGTTCCTGTAGAGTGCGTACCGCCGCCATGTTTTTTGTTGATCCTGTTGCAGGCTCACAGTTTTGATGAACCGATCGAAATTTCTTCGCGGAGATAACAAAATGTTCGATCAAAATTACCAACCAGTCGTTCGTAAGCAAACTGATGCATAAACGACAAACTAACAAGTACAAGATGTTGAAAATTCAAATAAATTGCTGCGACTGTAGAAATAAAGATGGCGATCTTCTGAAAAAAATTTCTTCTAAATGTTTAGCTGCCAAGTTAAATTGACCAATGAGCTTTGACCTCTGATCTAAGAACCCGGATGTGGCAATCGCCTTTTATGGGTTAGGGGGCGTGGCGATGAGCTAGCCCGCTAATGTAAACAAAAACACTGAATTAAAACAAAATGTGCAGTACATGCAAAAACACGTTTGTCTTTTTCAAACTCTCATTACCAAAGCGAGATATATCAATGTCAAAAAGAAAACAAAGTCAGTATCAAAATGAAATGCTTTTTATTTTTCATATTTCATACTGTTAGATATTTTATAAAAAATAAAAAATAAATAACGTTGGCAGCTCACAGTTGAAAGAAACAACTGTATCAACATCACGTAGAGCGATGTGGTATACGCACAAAACTTCCAATTCATGGACATTTATCATCGCTGAGAGCAGGTCACAACGACAAAATGTACAGCCTATCGACTGCGCGTAAATTGTGGCTGTGTCAATATATCGTCCAACACACATACATATGAAATGTGTGTCCAGAGGTGAGGTTATCACAAGACGGATAATATTTGTGTAATAACCCGATGCATCACATTGAGGGGTAGGGGGTAATTTGTCAATTTTATTTAACTCGCTACATTTTTGTAGCAGTAGGTACCTATATATATTTTCCAGAATTACCCTACTGAGTATTGTTCTGGAAGTTAAAAAGACATGATCAAATTATACATTAGATTTAAAAGCATAACAGTAAGAAAGTTATATGATATAAGCATTTTTTCTTAACTAACACTGCAGACATTTCATGACTGTACAGAAAGGTTGAAGAATAACGATATGTTAAGCTAACATTCTGTGAAAAAATACACGCTGAAGCTAAACTAGTTTTTGTAACAATTACTGTATGACTCCATTGCTTCGGTCAATCAAACGACATAGCCTCTAACATCACGACACATCCGACATCTATAACTGTACATTTATGATTGGATTGGTACGGTTAAACACCTGTGCAGGACCTGCTCTATTCAACTGCATGATGTAAGATGTTGTTAGAGGCGGCTAATGCGGGAGGCTCCAGCAGTTATTGATTAAAGCTTGACTTGACAGTGTCACACTTGTCAGTATAGCACCTAAAGCACAAGTTTAATGAAAAATAAAAAAAATATATCGACACTTTGTCTGTGTAAAGCATGTCAATCCAATGTTCTAAATCATTCTCTGCATCTTAGTATGAGATTTAAATAAGAAACACAAAATACACAATAAATTATCCAACCGTAAAATGATTTGAAGTTTTATTTTTATTTTTAGATTTTTGTCCACGGTTTGAAAATTACGCCAAAACAAGAATAAGGCAACCAGCAAGTAAAATATTTAAAATTCGAATCATTGAAACAGGTTTGATATTTTACAGTTACTTTAACACAATTTGAAAAGAAAAACTTAATAGCCAGTTCATTAATGCAGCGTTAGAGAGTAATTAAGATAAATTTAACATAATATTGTAATAAGTACGGGTTAGTCAGTGTCCAGTACCTTCAGGCCAGCCATGGCAGCAAAACCCAACATACAGAAAAACACTTTTTGCAAACTGTATCCGTTTGATAATTCTTTTTGGAGAATTTCGAAGAATGTAACATATAGGAAGGTTCCTGATGCAAGGCTCTGTAATATTCCGGAACTTTTCTCCTGTATTGACTCGTCCCCGACACCGGTATTAGTCACCACCAAACCGACTGCTATCCCTACTGGAGACACTAACGAGAGATACAGGATGTATAAGATAATCTTAATATTTCCCTCGACTACTTCCTTCATCTTCATCCCAACACTAAACACAATCACAGCTTTGTGTACAGATATGGCGGCTACCAATGTCCATGTATTAGAGACTGTATCCTGCAATCCTATCGCCATTCCTTCGAATATCATATGGATGGATAAAGCGATTACAAGAATTACGGTCCGGATCCGTTTTGTTGTTCTAGAACGTCCATCTCCGGAAACATCTATGATTGTTGTTTTCTTCTTTCGATCTTCAACGTGAACTATTGGTGCCGGTGACTGCGATGTATTATCGTTAGAAAAAGTTGTCTCCCCTATGGTGCGGTAAACTACTGGACGGACGCCATCAATTATGTCCCCGCTCTCTTCTGTTGCAGCCAACGATGGATTGGTTTTACCGGAAGAAGATTCCTCTAGTGAAGCGACCTGCGACTCGCGAGTGTGATGGCCGTGCGTGTCATGACTGGTGGGACCGTGTTCATGACCATGGCCTAGAAAAGGACTGTCGTCATCTTTACTGACAAGTCCTATGGTGTGTTCTATTGCTAGAACTAAGAAGAATCCCGCGCCAATAAGCACTCCTGACAATGGGAAGTCTACGTCCGGTATGGCCTCAGCGACTGTCTCCATTGACTCCTGCATAAGATGGAGGATGGCCGTGCCGAGGAAGACACCCCCGGCGAAACAGTTCGTCAAACTGATGATGTAACGGAGCCGGGATAAGTTTTTCATTTTGTTTGACAATAACTTTAGAAGCCATATCGGTGTTATACCAAAGAAAAATGTTATCCCAAACACAACGAAAATAGCAATGATTTTGTTTGTGTCTACCATGATGATGTCGTGTCAGACAAAACTCCACAAGTCCGCATGCCTATAATGAACCGACTGGTACAATGTCATTTGCTGATGGGTGGAAAATCCAAGTGTTGTGAGTTATTTAGTCCACTTATTATTCTAAGGCAAGCATCTGTGAACAATCCATTGGTTGGTCATCTCGAGACCAATGTATGTGGATGTTACCGGTCGAGAGTTGGTATCCCGATAACGTATCCGGTCACAAAGTAGAGCGGCCTCCCACTGTTGGACTTTACGTTTAATGAAGCGTAGTGTCAAATACAGGTACATCTATCATCACTCGTATTAATTACGCCAGTAGGATATGTACAAATATAACGGTTTAAATAACTTCGCTTTATCATAATCTGTGTTTTGTTAGACGTCAAATAACAATTACAATTAGAAGTGTTTATAAATTTGAATTACATTACCAAAATAAAATGTTACTGACTTAACGCCAAAAACATAAACCTAACGCCGGTCGTACACGATATCTACATGTCGTATTATTAATACATGTAATCTTCTTCTTATTTAGCGTCGTAAACATTGTAAATAACAAACATATACAGTAACATCTGAAGAACTTCGTGGTTGAGTAAAAGCCCATGGGGGAAAACTAATGTGGCTTTCGTGTATTAGGCCTAACGCCACATTTCTGCCACCTCTGGGGATCGAACCGAAATTCATGTCTGAAGCTCACGCTTGATTGCACACGGTAGTAAGTAAAAGATATTTTAGGATCTTGAGATACCAGATGAATCGGTACGAGGGACAATCGACGATTAATCGAAACTTTGGGAAACAGGTACATGCAATTTTCATTACTGTTTTCTTGATTTTAGTTAGCCAGTTTTAACATGATATTATACAAGTACGTACTTTATTCTGATTTTTCATTTTTCAGGTAGCAGCAAAACATCATTCGCTATAGGATTCTCACTAATATGGAATATCCTTTTCCAATAAAGTATTTTGATCCAGAGGGTTCGAGGAACACAGAAATGCTGTGGCTTACAACAGTCTAAAGTTTGTGTTGATAGGAAAGGAAACATCCAAATACCAACCTTACCAAGATTACATGCCGAAGATAATGCAGTTAATTATAGCTACACATATATATACATAGAACGCCACATTTTCAGTGACACGTTTTATGTAAATTTATACATGTTTATGACTGCATTGTGTTTAACAGTGAGGGCTTAACCACCGTAAATTTGAGCCGATGTTTAAATAACAGCATACTGATCCGTCCAATGACAGGGCTATAGGGTTGCTATTTGAAAACTATCTTGCTCTAATCCCACCACTGGTCCTATCTACAGGAGAAATATCATTCCCCACAGGAACAGCAGGATTTCGTAGTCGGGTTGTTTTTGTAAATATCCTAGGAAACTGTAAGATAAATATGGTTAAATATGCTGATATTGACACACAATGACGTCAATGTACAGAACTTTACAAGCAAGACATCAATGAGTAGGAAATTGCGGTCTGAGGTGTTCATAGACGTGAGACGGTAAGTACAAACGTCAGACTGCGACTTTACTTCAGAAAGTATCCACTTTCCTTCAACCGCGTCTACATGAAACAGAACGGTAAAACATTGAACGATATTAAAGAAAGAAAAAGGTAAAACATGTCTTATACCGCAAAAAAACCCACACCAGTCCTGAAACTGATCCGTGCTGTTGTACCAAAATCAGTGAGAACCATAATTATTAAAGCAGCCGTGTGCAGTTGATTTTGTTTTTCCTGTAGTATATTATTGCTTGATAGACTTTGGAGCTAATCAGTAATCTGTGCTGATGGATATTGATTTGATAATTATACTTAATAAATTAAAATTATCTACAATATTCGTGAATAATTACTATGTTTACATATTTATTTTATTCATTCATTCTCGAAATTAGTAAGTGTTTAACCTGTAGCTGTACTGTTGATTTATTGGTACTCCTATCAAAGCAAATTGCCTCCACATTCAACACCCAGGTGAGGTCACAACCGCGAATTTTTTGCCCAGTCAAACTTTCGCCCTTCGCCGATAAAATCCATTTTCGCCCTTCATATTTCATTACTATGGATATTATGTTGTTGACTCATATTAGCAGTAATGATTATTTCGCCCTCATCACGAAGGACGACACAAATTTAACTGCAGCGAACATTTCACAACATGAAGCACCTTAACCCCACCAGGTACACTATGTATATGTACTGAACAACGTGGGTAGTATGCACTTATGAGGGTGAAAACATTCGTGAGAGGTCGAGTCTACATACACCATTCAGGTCATATACAGCAGCAAAACCAAAGGGTTAAAACTTAACCGGGCTGCTGTAAACGGGAAAACTTTCGACCAGTCAAATCGCACTTTACTAGAAAATATCGTATTCGCCAAATATGTCATAAAACACTTTTGATTCAAAAAAAGAAAACCATAGATTTCTTTCCACTTTTCCATTAGTTTGTGTTCTCATGACCAAAGCTTATTAAGTCTTGATAGCTGGCAAGTAGATTGTTTATGTGAATGGTTTTAAGTTGTGTAAACGTTGATGACCTTGACCTTCGTTTAAGGTCACAAAAGTAAACATAAATGTGCTAAAATATTTCTTTGTATGGGAAGCCAGACATGGACATCTTCCTTGCTTTATTTGTTTAGAGTTAACGATATAAAATAATATATTCCTTCATGTTTTGTTTGGTGAATGGGCAATAGGCAAAATTAAGATAATAACTACAGCTGTAAGCCAAATGCTAACTAATATCCCCCGCTCCTTTATAAACCAGAACTGCAAGCTAAAGGCTAACCTAAGGCAACGCATCGCCATAACTCCTTTTTAAAGGGTCTGAATGACAACATACTACTGGGATGCACACTGTCAGGGGGCAGTTACCATATCTATAAACTTCCGTTGAAATTGTCCCCATAGTTTTGGAGGAGTTGCCTGGACCATTATTTTTCAACAAAGCGCCATAACTGCGGTAAAAAGAAGTTTCGGAATGAACAAAAAATAATACCTTGATGCAAAACTTCGGGTGTTAGTAATCATATCTAGAAACTCTCGTTGAAATTGGTCTATTGCTTCAGAAGGAGCTGTCCTGACAAACCTTTTCTATGGACAGACAATTATCTTTGTCTATAATACAATCTCAACCTTAAGTAGTTCTGCAGAGGAAAGAATACTTTGGCAGAATACATATCCATGAGTTATAACTGCTGCACATAACTTTAAGAAATGCGCAATAGAATAAAGTGTTTGCTATGAAACAAAAACAGAACATGTATCGGTAGTTACCATAACAAACATTAATCAAATCTCCATTAGAATGTGCAATAAGGCACTGAACACGTTTGGCGTGCTAAAAAGTACTTTACCGGCTTTAATATTTCATGAAAATGATTCTGTAGACAGAATATATGTATGGTACGTTTATAAAGAAGTATAAAATACACACTTGTATTGTAACTATATATAGCCAAATTGACAATGACGGTTATATTTTTAATTTTGTGAAATTTTTGCATGTTTTTCTGATAAAAAGTATCACTACGTTTATTATGTGTATACCAATATGACATTAATAACAGTATTTTTTTACATTTTACACTTTCATATTTCATTTTCAAAATAACATTCACCTGTGACATGTATCTGTCATTTTGTTTGGATATCCCCGTCACTCAGCCTGGTGTTATGCAAGGAGGTCCACTACGGTTATCAGTAGTAAATATGAATAATCATTTATGCAGTTATTGATCATTTTTATGTAAAATCAAAGTGGGGGGCCATAAATTAATCCCACCTTTGTAATACTCTTACACAATTAGTTGCTACAAATGTGTATCGTTATGTCCGCGTTCAGGCATACAGTATTTTCTCGACTGCTTCAGTTTATAATTGTTTTTTTTATAATTAAGCCCCTTCCTCTAAGTTATTGTTGCTATCTTTTCATGTTATTTTGAATTCCTGCTATGTCCGTGTGAATTGACAATGTGGCATATTTAGGCTCGTCCGACGAACTTTCTAATCGGTTATCCAACATGGCCGCCTTGGCCTATACTCGATTGACATTTATGAGTGTACGCCGAGGTGATGCCAAGCGTAGTAAACAAGGGTATTATGGCAATGCGCATTCTTCCCAATTAATCACTTGCTACGGCAGGGGTATTTTTGGGTACTTCTGAAACGTTCCCAGTCACAATTTTACTTGTATGTACCGACTTTATGTCCCGGCTTTTATTCTGGTGTGTTGACAATGTAATTTGTTTTCTTTTCTACTTCACGTCACGTCGTGCTTTTGTATTGATATTTATCCGGGTTCACTGAGGTCGACATGATAACATTTAGCTGTCGAATACACGCATGATTCACATGGCCTACTTTCGTTATTCGTGAATCAGTACTTGGACATGATGGTATGTGGTGGGACGTCTGCTTCACACGTTCAGATGAATGATTGCCTGTACGATTACATTATGTAGTCAATTATACAGAGGTTTAAGTCATATAGGCGCGTTCATTGAAGCCAAAATATCCCACACACCTTCCTTCAAATACCATGACTAGATTTTAAGCCGACTATATTATCGGGAAGTCAACTTCCTCCAAATTAAAATAATGATATCATTTTTAGCCGACTATTCCAGTTTCCTCAAAATAAAATGAATTCATTATGACACGGTTGGCCTAAAACAGGGCCTGTATTCATGAAACCGTACTCGTCCTCAAGCATAGATTTTGTGCTGAGGCCTAATTTCATGTTTCGGTTATGAAATGAAAATGAAATCTTATTATGTCAATGGTTTTGAAAAAAGCTATAGGGACTTAGCCCATTACTGTTTTCAGTGTTTACAATTGAGGTTTCGATCGCTTAACATGATTGAAGTGAGTAACTAGAATGCTGGTTTGAGCACAGAATCCATGCTTGAGCGTGAGAACGGTTTCATGAACACAGGTCCAGACGTTATTGCTTTTGAAATCGGTCCCATATTTTAACAACATTTGACATTGTGGTATGGAAAATACCGACGCCTGTAACAATTTTTAAAAAGTGTTTGTGAGCCGAAGAAAACA